GTTTAAGTTACGAAGTTAAAAGACTAAGATTCAAAGACTAGATCGGGTATAGATAATATAAGCCGAAGACCAGATCAATCTCTCTCTCTCTCTATGAATATCTATATATTATTGACTGACAGACTTATTGACTGACAGGAAGCTGAAATTTTCACTGAAGTTACTTTATGTGAGAAAGAGGCCCGTTAAGACGGGGTTTCGGCTAATTCCACCCGCATGTGTGGAAAAATCGCGAAAAACGTTTGTATGAAACTTTTTTGCCTGAAATCCGATCGGTTTAAAACTCATTTTCAAAGATCTTTGACAGAATTTATTTTGAACGTGCCACGGGCAAGGCCGGGGTATACCCGCTGTTATCCTATATAGACTCCATAGACTCCATATCCATAGTTTAAAACTTCCCAGCCCCATAACTCAGTCAAATCTTATCCGACTTTCACGAGGTTTGGCTTTTTGCTCATGGTTTGATCTCTAAATCAATCTGGCATCTAAATATGACAACATGATTCTGGGTCAAATTTCATGTGAAAATGGTACCCTCAAATATCCTATATAGACATAGATGAAAATTTCCCAACACCATCACTTGGTCAAATCTCATCCGATTTTCACGAGGTTTGGTTTTTTGCTCATGGTTTGGCCTCTAAATCAATCTGGCATCTAAATCTGACAACATGATTCTGGGTCAAAATTCATGTGAAAATGGTAACATCAAATATCCTATATAGACATATGTCAAAATTTCCCACCCCCATAACTCGGTCAAATCTCATCCGATTTTCACGAGGTTTGGTTTTTTGCTCATGGTTTGGCCTCTAAATCAATCTGGCATATAAATATGACAACATGATTCTGGGTCAAATTTCATGTGAAAATGGTACCCTCAAATATCCTATATAGACATAGATGAAAATTTCCCAACACCATAACTTGGTCAAATCTCATCCGATTTTGACGAGGTTTGGCTTTTTGCGCGTGGTTTGGCCTCTAAATCAATCTGGCATCTAAATATGACAACTTGATTCTGGGTCAAAATTCATGTGAAAATGGTACCATCAAATATCCTATATAGACATAGATGAAAATTTCCCAACACCATAACTCGGTCAAATCTCATCCGATTTTCACGAGGTTTGGTTTTTTGCTGATGGTTTGGCCTCTAAATCAATCTGGCATCTAAATATGACAACATGATTCTGGGTCAAATTTCATGTGAAAATGGTACCATCAAATATCCTATATAGACATAGATGAAAACTTCCCAACACCATAAATTGGTCAAATCTCATCCGATTTTCACGAGGTTTGGTTTTTTGCTCATGGTTTGGCCTCTAAATCAATCTGGCATCTAAATCTGACAACATGATTCTGGGTCAAATTTCATGTGAAAATGGTACCATCAAATATCCTATATAGACATAGATGAAAACTTCCCAACACCATAAGTTGGTCAAATCTCATCCGATTTTCACGAGGTTTGGCTTTTTGCTCATGGTTTGGCCTCTTAATCAATCTGGCATCTAAATCTGACAACATGATTTTGGGTCAAAATTCATTTGGGAATGGTACCCTCAAATATCCTATACATAGGTCAAAATTTCCCACCCCATTACTCGGTCAAATCTCAACCCAAGTGCCAAAAAATCCCTTCTATCGATTTTTTCTAGAATTAACGGGCATTGCTCGTCAAGAACATGCATTCGAGCTCGAAGATATATCCGTTCAACATTTAATTAAAAAATGTTAATACTTTCGGCAAGGATATAGACAGCTTCTTCTTATAAATGCTATCAATTGATATCCGAAACGAAATAATGTAAAGAAACCCTATTATAAATGCCCTTAAGGTGATCCGTTAATTGCACCTTTAAGGAGTATCAAATGATATATGCTATATGCGTGGAGTATATAAACAGTTCTTGTTCAGTCGAGCAGCAAAACGTATGCGAGCCATTAGATCACGTTATGTCATTAGAGGGAAAATAAAAGCACGTACGTGTCTCCATCGAACAGGAAGCATTCAAAGTGCAAAAAACAATTCCAAACAACAACAAAAAACAACAACTGGAAGAGCAATTAAAAAGTTTTTGGCTTTTTGCTCAACATAAAATACAAAAAAAAAAGAGCACAAAAAGAGGACTAGATCTAGGACCTAAAACACACACACACACACACAAAATGCAATAAATAATTTTTAATAAAAATTCGTAGGGCACCGACTGGACGAATGCCAGAGAGGGGGTGAGAAGGGGAGAGAGGAGCCAGAGCCAGCAGTACTCAGAGCACGTAGCCCCAAAAATTATTCCATGGGCACTAAATTAAAAGCAAAACAACAGCAAAACACTGAAAAATGTTCATTTGCAGTTGCCAGTTGCCAGTTGCTGGTTCCCATAAGCAATATCATCATCATCATCATCATCATCATAATCATCATCATCATCAGCCGCAAGCTGATAATGAACATTGTCATGATGAAGATAGAGTGCAGACAGTTAAGAGGCGCAATTCATATAGATATTTTACGTTATACAGGTTAGAATTTCAGTAAAATTTTTCAATAAACGACTCGCAACGAGTTTTGTGGCCGAAAAACAATTTAACACAGCTAAGAACCAGATAGAGAGGGGCTAGAGTTAAGGAAGCACAAAGAGAGAGAGGGAGAGGGAGCTAGTGTTTGCTGCCGAAGGTGTTGAGTTCTGCCCAGTTAGTTGTACAATTGGATTTCGTATGCCTAGGTCAGTTCAGTGCTTCACATTTGTGCAATTTTAATTGTACAGCTAGCAAATTTGCAACCCCCCTGCCCTCCCTTTCATAACCGACTGCACCAACCTGACAACAACAATAATCGCTACGGTAAATTCCAGTTTGCACGGCAGCAAAGTTTATGCACCTGTCCAGCGTACAGATCCCACATGTTTAGCTTCCCTGTTCGCAACAGTTTTCCAACAGTTACTGTTAACTTTCCGTTAGTTGGTTATATAACCTTAACTAAGGATTTTCAGTGCATATTATGCTCGTGACATACCGAGATATTTCATATTTCATTTATTTCATTATCATTTAAATAAAACCAACAAAAGTAGTGTGAATAGTTCAGCAAGAAAGAATTCAACGGAAAAATTCATGAATTCAAATTTTCTTTATTTGCGCATAAACTAATTTGATTTTTGATTAGTTTTGACTAGTTTAAGACCTTTCAAACATAAACTATAGGCTGAACAGATTTGCTTTTCGTATCTTAAATTGGATATTATTAGATTACTTCGATATATCTCGTTGCTTTTATTTAAATAAAAAAAATTAAACAATACTTATTTTTTCGAATTCAATATTGTATTATTGCATTTTTTTTGAGAGTTTAATTAATTAAAATTTAAACTGAAATAGATTCAATTAATATTAAGGGCTTTTTTAATGCATAAGACGCCTTGAATCTCAAATTCTTTTATTTCAATAATATTTTTGCATTTTTTTCTTTTCGCGGCTGAGTTATCTTAAAGATATTAAAATATAAAGCAATGAATATAAAACAAAATAAATTTTTCCTTTTTTTTTCAAGTCTAAATATTGTATACAATTTTTAATTTTTGTCGCTTAGTCCTTAAATATTATTATAGGCTTTTTAAATGCATCTCTGCATCTCTCTTTTAAATATATCTCTGAAATTGAGGTGTTCCACCTGGCGAGGAAGCCTAGAAATGGAGCACATAATGCAATGAAATCCTGGCACATGCTTTATATAAACCATAATACAACTAAAATATATTATCTGTAAATACACAATTATACTTATATAGAAACATGGTTAGTTCGACTACAGAACATTTGCTTGTCGCATATATGCAAGCACTTTTGCACACTACCTTGTTCTGTTTTGCCGTTTCCTGCATGAACTCTAAAGCCCCTGGCAGCTCTGGTTATTTTCGCTCAGTTCCGGGTTCCACTCGGACCCCCTCTCTTTCTCTGTCCCTCTCTCTCTGTCTCTGTCTCGCACTCGCTCAGCTTATCAGGGACAAGAGTGCATGAGCATTTGCCTCAATTCGGGTTAATTGTACGGCCATTGCTAGAGGTGGCCGGGCACCTGGTCTGGCCGAGGCAACGTTCATTACAACTGCACGAACGAGCGTTTATATAAGGTATTTCGAAATTTTGTATTGCCCCATTGTTGTTGATATTGTTGCCACATGTCATTAGTTGGTTGCTTTTCCTGCTCCGAAATAAACCTCGCCTCCTTCTGTGCCCTGCTGCTGCAACCCGTTACGGCTAGCCTGGATTTTTGAAGCAAATAATGAAATGCAGCAATAAACGAGATAACTGCTGCAATTGGTATGTGCATGAGTGTGTGTGTGTGCTTGTGTGTCTGTGTGTGTGTGTGTGTGTACCCTTAATGCGACTATTCAGCTAGTTAGAAGCATGCCAAATAAATATATAGGGGCTGTATAAATAAATGATTTTAGTTGAGAATATTTTCAAGCGTGTTTATTAATATACCACAAAATTAAACTGAGTATGAACCTGAGATTTATGGAGTTGAACAAAGATTCCTCTATGAGTAACACAAATTGTCAAAAAATGTATGCAGTTTCTAGAAGGTTGAAAAGTCTGAGCATAATTCAAAGAAAAATACATGAAAGCATATTTTTTCTCTTTTTCGCAAATTTAACAAATTATTCATAAATAATTTTGGTAAATTGTTTGTACTTCCGAATTTGTTCTATCACATTTTCTATATACATAACCTAAAGTATGTGTTTTACTTAAACAAAATCGCTTCGGAGCACTGAGTACGAAATTTTTGGATTGAAACCCCTTGAAGGCAAGAAAGTTAACAAATTTCCGCAATATACAAATTATATTATTCACAATTGAAACAAAATACCTATCGCTTATCGTGGCCTTAGCCAAGTTTCTCGATGGAAATCTTAACTGCAACTTTGATAACATTACCTATTCCTATTTTAAAACAGAACATTTATTTTAAAAATTTCCATTTCTTTCAGTTCTGGGCAGCCTATGTGCCCTGCGAGGCGCAACATCGCGATGCGGTGCAGTTGACGCTCGAACAAATTGATGTGATCAAAAGACTAACCGATCGATATTCGCCGCAGCTAACCACCTGCACCTCGGCGCAAGGTAAGTACTTGTAAACTGTTCAACAACAAGAATGAGAAAAAATAACATCACACATACGCCGCATAAGCCAGACATTGCCAAAAGCTTAGATGCTGCGAATATGCTGCTGGAATGCCAAACGCTTCCACGCATTCAATTTGCTGCAATGCAGCAAACTTTTCGCGAGTTGTTCAAAAGGAATTCCGAATAGCAACCAAAAAAAAAATAAATAAAAAACGAAAGAAAAATAAGACCAGAAAGTGAGAGTAATATCAAGAAATGGTGAATGGTAAAAAAGAGGAGGAGCAACAGCCCAGTCGCTGCATTTGCCGTAGTGCTCCAGACCCGCACTTGAGTCAACTACTTACTGCGTGCCATATTTTTGCGCCATTTCCTTTGATATTCTGCACTCACCTAGTTAACAGCGGGCGGCAGTCCTTATAGAATCCGCCACAAGGAGTCGCAACTGATGTTGCGAGCAGAAGTGCAACTGCAAGTTTTTGACTTATGTTCGAGTCTTCGGCCGCCATTCGAGTTGTTCTTGCTATTCTTGTTGTTATTGCTGGTTTTGTTTTCCGTTTTGCATTTTGATTTGCTGCCATAGGACTTGGCAATCTTTTGGTGTTCTTTTCATACCCCGTACCCATTGAAAATGAAAATAAAATGGGTATGCTATATATGTAATAAATTTAATCTAGACTTTATGGTATCGATAACTTGTGAACTGGAGGCTATATCGAAAAGTATCGATTTAAACCCATCAGAGCTCGACAGGCTGTATATCCTCATCATTGTTACTTATATCCCATTCAACAATCGATTCGCTCTAAACTTTACACTATCGATAGCCCATTCAATTTACATGTAAATCGATAAATGTCGAAGTAAGCCCGACACAGCTCGACATGCTGTAGATCCTCACCCTTACAACTTAAGTCCCATTCAACAATCGATTCGCTTAAGACTTTCCACCATTGATACTCCGCTATACTAACCCGGAAATCGATAAATAGCGGTTTAGGCCTATCACAGCTCGATAGGCTGTATATATCTTATATCTTACTTAACAGTCGAATCGATCTGCACCTTCTGCTATCGATAACCCTTAAAATATACCCCTAAATCGATAAATATCGAATTTAAGCCCAACACAGCTTTATAGATCCCGTTTGTCTATCTCTATGTGTACTTCATGATAGGGTATCTCGAAGTCGAGCTTCTCTCGGCTAGAGCACTCTTACATTATATATTTTCTACATGTATTTTTGTGCTCTAAAAGAAAAAGCGCGGCAAAACAAACAAACAAGGAATCGCTTCCGGCATTTCGCGTTGAAACATTTATACAGCCGTTAATGGAAATGTCAATAAATCACATGGCCATAAAAATCATGCACAGGAAAACTTTTTGCTAGAAATTTACGAGCGGAAATGCATGCCCCAAAAATACTTGCAGCAACTGCTAAATTGTGATAAGAACCGCATATGTTTAACCGCAAATAGCTGCTAACTCTAAACAGTATACTTCTGAACTCAAAAGGGCAGTGAATGCCACAAGCTCCTGACTAGCTGCAGTTGCACAGAGAGTGCCAGCAAAATTAAAACAATTTGCGTCAAAACACACAAAATAAATCCAAAATAAAATCAGTTTGAGTGTGACTTGGAGGTGTCCGACTGAGAGATACCCTAAGCCTGTCGCCAAGCTGCAGTTGGAAAACATCATCGCTTTCTTTTAGCCTTTACCCCATGTGGGAAATGTATTCGGTTTCTATAGTCCGATCGTCATGCACTCTCGAGAGCTTAAAAATGGCATACAAAAGAGTGTGTATACCAAAGCGCAAAAAGCAAGCATTATACCCTTTAAACCAAGTGCAACAAAAATCCATTCAAATTTATACAAAAATTCAGCTAGCACATATTTTAATTGCTCAACTTATGTGGAGTATGTTGAAGCTGAATAGAAATTGCCAAATTGAGAAAAATATTTGAACGAAAAGCGCAGTGCAAAGAGTTTGAGGGTTATGTTGACTGAAGAATATGCCAGTTAAGTCCAGTTTAACTCAAATGGATACGTTCTGTTAACCATTAAATGGTTCTAATTGAAAGGATGCTATTCAGAATTCGCTAAAGCGAGGGCAAATACCTATTGCCAAAGTTAACTGCGTTTAGAAAATGTTGCGACTATTTGCAATTAGTATTGGTGCTTGCTATAATTTTGAGTATAACAAATTATAAATGTGGAGTGAGATTCGATTTCGTTTTGTTGAAGGTGAATTGGAGCAAATAAACATATGGCTTTAGCTTGTGTAAGCTCTGAGATTATTTATTACATAGCTATGCAGTCTGAGAAAAATATAATCTACTCGAATAATGATGAGGACGAAGATATGTATATATTAGGCTAAATGGGCTACAGCTTCACCCAATTTTATTCAGCATTTAGAATATGGTACCACAATAAACCACTTACTGCACGTGTGACTTGAAATCAAAGCAAACCGAAACTAAAAATCCAAATTCAATTAACTACAAAATAGAACTGCGCATGTTGATTTTTCTCCCTTACTTGGCATTTTATACAGACGAGTGTCTATCCGAAATTTAGTCTCTGTTTAAATAGCTACGCTTAAAAAAATTGCGGACAGACGAACATGGCACAAATATTTTTTACAAAGTGAGCAGAATAAAATTAGGGATGAAAATCGTCAAGGATTGACGATTGAAATTTCAGATAAAATATCAAATAGGAAATCAAAGTAAATATCGACCAATCGCAAATATTCGAAATTAAATTAGCGATGAATATCGCCAAGCAAATACTGTTGTTGTTTTTAAAGAATATCAGCTTGAAAATCATATTTAATCAAGGAAAAAAATTATTCGTTTTAGTTAAACTTAGTTAAGCGCAATTTAATCAGTCGGGAGTGAGGTATATTCCACATATATCGGCAATATCGTATATTATCTATCCTTATTATTATACAATATTATTGTAGCATTTGGAACTTTCAACAGGGCGCAGCCCAAAGCCAATTAAGCACATTCGTAACATATATAGTTAAGCAACTTTTTTACTGTTAGACCTGATGAATTCTCTATCAATTCATACTTAAATAAGGCTTACAATATATTTTTCAAGGCATAATCTCTCCTATTAATAGCACTGGCAAAAAAGATAAAACCTTGGATGCCTAACCCAAAATAACACAAAATATCGCATTGACCTATCGCAGACAACGCGCTGCTATATTGACACGATGCAATGGTCGAGATTTGGCCATCCCTGGCATAAGCTCAACTCCAAGCTCTCTTTTTTTTTTTGCGAGCATCAAATATGAACGTAAAGCGAACCAAATGGAACGATTCCACATTTGCACTATTTTAAACATTCTCATGCACCGTAAACACATCCAAAGCAAAGATTCAAGCACATACAATATAAACCCCAACTGACTCACTGGTCCAAAAATGTGACTCCCCCTCCGCAGCACAATTCCTTCATAGAACGGACGGTACGTGAATTTTTGCAGCTGCTGTTGCATAAAATAAAAACCAACATTTTATTTGAAGTGCACGAAATAAATTCAGAGTCGCTTGAAATTGTAGTCTGCACATGTCGTGTAAATAAAATGCGAATGCAAGTGACCATTGAGCGAGCAGGAGGAGGTGTGGTCACGCCCCCCCGCCCCCCTGCCACACCACCCTCGTCTACCATTCCAGCAGGGTAGAGACTCAGTTTGACTCAGAGCTGCCAAAGTGATTGTAAAAATGCAAAGCTAACGAACCGAAACACAACGCGACGACAACTGACATGACACGTCAGTCAGTCAGTCAGCGAGCGATCGCTTCCCTAGTCTCAATCCCGTACAATTCTTGTGTGTGAGTGTCCCAATTGAGTCCGGGAGACTGCCTTGGCTACGGAGACAGAGGCAGCAATGAGCGTTGCATTCGCGCTGCATAAACACAATAAATAGAATATACTGAAACTGGGTTTTTCACCTGCAGCTAAGCATAGGTTTTTGCTCGTTTTTTTTTGTTTTTTTCCTTTTGATTTTCCCCTTACCATGATTCTGTGTCAGTTGGCAGTGCTGTCTGTTGCCAGCATTTGCTACTTTACATTTTCCCCCGTGTCGATGTGCGAAATGCTTTTCATTCGCAATTTTCAATTTCCACCTTTGAAATGTGTAAACTTCAATTTACACTGAGCTTGCATTCGAGAGAGCATTGAGACCGAAATTGCATTCGATTTGGCAAGCCTTTGACATTTTTGATGCTCTCCCCAAGGAGCATATTGATTTGCTTGCGCAACTTGCTTGAATTAGCAAAATATAAGATTTGCGAAGGATTTTTGGCCTGCTCTTGGGTCGTTAGAATTGGGGCAATTACGGTGGCGGGCTGGCTGACTTTGCTAGCCCTTAAGCAGACAGAAGAGTGTGACCGCATTTTCTTAGGACGCAGGAATGTCAAGTCCTCTAGCAGTAAGAGAAAAGTGCGCACAATATTCTAAATACATGATTCAAGGCTGCCTAAGAAAATTATCATGAAGCATTTGAATTAGCTAAAAGCTTTTAGCTGGCTTGCATTACCTAAGGAAAATTGAAAGTGTGACCGCATTTGCTTGTACGAAAATCGACGAAATTTGCATAGATCTGGCAATGCTAAAGTTAGCCAATCTTAGCACAACTTTTGTGTACATTGTTCAAAGCTCTAAAATCTATTGGAGTTTATTCAAAAAACTGTTCCTAAGCATGTGAATAAACTATCTGCTGACTTTGCTGCGTCTTTAGCCAGAAAGAAGAGTGTGACCGCATTTGTTTACAGAAAAAGTGAAGGAACTTTCAAAGATCTGTTAGAGGAATGCGAAAGCTAGCACAGCAAGCAAAATCTTCTAGGCAGCTAAGTATAAAATCTGTTGAAATAGGGCATACTATATAATATTATTATATACAGTAACATTATTTCCATTTATATAGTACGACTTCAATCAGATATTTTCAAATTAATGCAACTTGATCTCTTGGCATTCACATTTCTGTGAGCGCATTTGCGTTTCGTACATGGAATTTGGCACATTCTGATGCCCTTACAATTTGGTTTATTGCGTCAAGTGGCATTTGGTTGGGATTTTCATTTTTCGAAATGTGCTGCAGCGTTCGGTTTTCTATTGCCTCAAATCGCATCCGATACATGCGGCCATATATTATACATTACGTTTCGGGCCATGGTCACAGACACAATTACATGCCGGACCAGCATCGAGACGCCTTCGTGTGCTCCGGGCCCAGAGCTGTTGGCCACAAGCAAAAGAAAAAAATTGAACTTCAGCTCACGTGGCGCATTTTAGTGCCTTTCGGTTGTTCTCGTTTGACTGCCAAGAACAACAACAAAAGATGCTGCACTAAAGGTCCTGGCTGAATATTTGTTTATTTGCTCCATATTTTAGGGTTTTACGGCAACGACGACATCGAGCAGGTTTTGTGGCAGGTATTTGCTTTCCTGGCTCCCATAACAATGGGTAGCAGCCAGCACCAGCAGGAGCCATGGCAGCAACAACAACAACAACAACAACAACATCGACTACTTGAGGGCAGCAGCAGCAGCAGCTAGTAAAAGTGCGCCCTTTTGATTTTACGCAGCTTATTTACTTATTGCCTGAAAACTTGCTAGCAAGGAGGACCCTGCTCCTGCTCCTGCTCCTGCTACTGCTGCTGCTGCTGTCTCTGCCTTACTTGCTCCCACTTGGCTTCGTTTGTGGCAATTTATTGACTCGTTTTCCCCCTGTCTGTGACATTTGAATTGTTATTACAAATGCTTGATTTGAATGCAGCGACAAATTATTGAATCGTTTTCTTTGCGCATACATACATATGTGTGTGCCCAGAACTTGTGCCCCAATGGAATCGCATTTTAATCAAACGTAAACTGCATGCAATAAAAACAACAATTCAGGAACTAGTTACACCAGAAATCATATAACCATATACGACATTGTTCAGCTGCTTCAACTTGATTGCAATGCGTTCTATTAAGCAACGAATTCTTCCTGTTATTGTAAACGATTCTTCTATTAGAGCTATATGATATAGTAGTCGGATGTTAATTAGATTTGGCTGATATGTTTGAAGCGTTGTAGAACTTGCAGCATTTAGTTAAGATATCTTGTAAACAAGCAGGCTTTTTGGTAAGATATCTTAATATTAATAAAAGTTTTCTATACTTACGTTCCGACTGATTATTTCTATGGTAGTTATATGATATAATGGTCCGATCCGGCCGGTTCCGACATATGTATGTACTGCAATGGAAAGACGAACTTATCGAAGGTTCAAGATGATAGCTTTAAGACTGAGAGACTATTTCGCATAGAAGAAGACAGATACATAGATAGTAGGACATACCTATATGTATATGAATTCGGCTGTTGATGCTGATCTAGAATATATATACCTTATGGGGCTGGAGATGCCTCCTTCTATGAGTTACACATGTCAAGACAAAATTATAATACCCTCTTCAATGGTATAAAATAGGAATTATTTCTGGTACTTACATCATATTAAATTAGTCAGGCTATAAAATAAACACAATTAATTTAATGTGTAATATTCGTAGTATTTAATAACTTTTAGTTCACAGCATCTTGGGCATTTCATATAATCAAGAATGCATTGAAAACGAATTTATATTCCTTTAAATCATTTGGTATGCATTTGATGGCGCTTTCATCGAAAGTTGTCGTGTTTACCACAACTATCATTATTCCCCGATAGTCACAGCATAAAAACATATCGATAGTATCGATAGTGCCCTTTCTTGCATCTCTAGTTGGCTTTCAGAAGTTGACTTCAAATCTCGTTGTCGAACAAAATTCAGTTGTCTTCCAATTCTCAGCCTGTACACTCGGCTTATGGAAGAGCCAAATTTTGCTTTCATTTTTATTTTTGCTTTTTGTTTTATTTTCGTTAAATCATCTCCATTTGAGTTATACATTTTTTTTTCGAATGTTTCGAATGCCTCATATATTTTACAATATTGGACTTTGATTTCATGTGAACAGTTGTCAAAATACATCATATATTATTTTTTTTTTTTTTTAATTTATACATAGCGCATTGAGAAGTTCTCGGCTCTTTTGAAAACAAAAGATTTTATTTTTTGCGTCCTGTGACTACTTTAGTTTCATTATATCCATAGACATCCTACATGGGAATAAGTGTTGCTATTATTAAAAGCATCTTTTAATAGCATATGCAAATACCACTTTGTTTTTTTGCATGACTTCAATTTGTTGTGTTTTGCCAAGTTCCCAGCCGGAAGAATATTTTTTCAGTATGTGAACTGCAAGGCAACTTTAATTTCTGTTAATTTTGTTTTTGTTGATTAATATTTTGTCATTTTGACAATTATTTTTTCATTGATTCTTTTTGGTTTTCGGTCATCAAATCAATGACAATTTCAGACATTATATTTCTTGGAATATTGCCCATAATTAAATAATAAGTCTTTAGTTTCACACTTCATATAAGTTTTATATATATTTGGATTATTGAGCGCGTCAACTTGTCTGTTCAGACAAGTGAGACTAAACAACAGAAGCTTTCCAGTACCAAGGCTAAAGTTTCAAAATGACATTTTTAACTTGTTCTTTCTCTTTACTCTAGGTTTTTTGCTAGGTGATTGCAGTGGTTGTCCAGTCGGTCTGCGTGCTTCAACAATACTCATACATATATGTTTTTTTTTCATACAAAATTATTTCGTGGTAATACGATTTATCCTAGTATCTGACCACTAGGTAATCCATGTCTATGGTTATTTTATATCTGTTCTTTTAAAACTAAATTGATCTTTTAATTGCTCCATGTCTACATATATACCTCTCGGTCCCGATCTTGGACATTTTGATGCCTTTCGATCATTTATCATTTCATCAATCGGTAAAGATTAACTCAAATCATAGCAGTTATTCGTTCAATAACATCAAAAAGGCACATTTGTACTTTCATTTCAAGAATCTCCGGTGGGATAAGCAATCCTACAGATCTTTCATTGCTTTCTTCTAAAGCCATTGGCATTACCAATTTATCATGTTCCGAGGAATCAACACCACCTACTGCACCTTCTAATGTTTCTCAATCAAGATTCATTTCGTGGTAGGACAGTTTTCCCAATATGTGAGGTTTAATGAAAACCATGTCTATATCCTCTTCTATGATTATTTTCATTTTCATTTTGTTTTTATATTAAAACATTTTTTTTTTTTTTAACATAATTATTATTTATTCTATTTCAAAATCTGCCCGCTTTTTGGGCAATAATTAAATGTCTTCTTTGACCGTTGGCAGTTATGTATTGCGTGTATCTATGTGTCTGTTTTGTGTGTTTAGTGTAGGGGAAGCAGTGGAATGTGTGGAGTTAGACTCTTTGGGGGAGGTCAAGTGGATGTTTCCTTTTGAGCCGTCTTGTTGTTGATCTGTTGTTTAAAAGGTTGGTGGCAAGATTATTTGGGTGGTTGCCTAGTCTGGCGAAGTATCGATCACTCAGCTTGGCAATAACCTCCTTTACCCAAGGTATATTAGGCTAGGATAACATACGCAGAGTTTTATTTTGAAGTCGTTGAACAATGTACAGGTTGCTCTTGCTGGCGGTACCCCAAAGATGGATGCCGTGAGTCCATGTTGGCTTGATAATTGTTTTATAGATTAAAAGCTTGACGCGAGGCTTCAATTTGGAATATAAGATCGATCACAAATAGTATATAATTCCTTTTCATTTATTTTCTGTTACACATCTTTGATTATTTTTCACTTTTATGCCCAATTATTTTGTGGCATGCCGATTCTGTCACAGTATGTGGCCGTGTCCAAAGACTTGTTCCGCATACAAATGTTCTGCAATTAATTAGGACTCTTTCACGAAGAAACGAATTCATTTTTAGCTAAAGAAGTGCTTAATGACTCTTTGGCAAATGCCTTTGGGAAAGTTGCCCGACTAGGCGAAGTTGCACATGCCACTGCAGAAGAAGAAACAAAACTTGTGCAACAACTTTATTCAAACATTGCACAACTTGCTGGCTAAAACAAAAAATATACTTAGAAAAATAAAACGTAGAAAAAAATAAATAACAATAAACAATGAGCAAGTATTTTGACAAGTGCCTGGCAACAAGACGAAACGAAATGAAAGAGATCAAAGCTGCTGGCCAAGACAAGCGTAAATATTGCACAGCATAGCACAAATGCCATGTTGGGATAAACTGACAGAGCAGCAGACGGACAGACAGACGGACGGATGGACGGATGGACGGGCGGACGGACTGAGACCGCAATGAACAGAGAGCTCAGCGGGGCAGCTAAGCAAATGACAGACGCAGCAGAACAACAATTCTTACTTATGCTACATTTCTTATACCCTGCCAGAGGGTACTATAATTGCCGCACTTATTATGTAACAACCTCCCTTTCAAGTTTTACTTTCTATCAGTCAATCTGTTTGCTTCTATGCCAACTAGTTCCACTAAACATTTTCTATTGTCATGTAACTTTAATACGGATCGGACCACCATATCATAAATAATATTGTTTTCTCTCTGGCAGGATCTACATTATATTTGACGTTTTTCCCATTTTCCTGGGCTATAAGTCACAGAGACCTTGATAACTTTTTCTTTTGTTTTTTTTTTCAACATTTTTATTTAAAATTTGGGGTTCTCTTGAGCCTTCTCGTTGTTGCACTGTTGTCCAACAGGTTGGTGACGATAACTGGTCTCCAAACGATGCACAAAATATTCTCTTCCATTGTTAGTTAACTAGCGGGTTTTTGTAAATTAAAATACACACGCACACGCATATTAATATATACGTATATATATGTATCTGTGTACATATGGGGTATCGATTAATTTTGAAATTTGCGAATTATATATTGATAGTTTTGTTAGGACCATTAAAAAACAAAAAGTGGATTTATTTTGGCCATATAAGGCCATATTTGTATGCAAATTCAAGAGAATCCATTGATGTTATAATCAGAATATTTATTTGGATTTTAGACTGAGTCTTAACCTAACTCTTAAAAATGATACAAGTTTCTTTGTATGCCAAATTGAGTAGATAAATTTTGAATTGATAGACATTCATAATTTACTAATGGGAGACGGTATTATTTTATGGATTATAACTGATATTCTAAGACTGTTCTGTGCAATATGCTTCTACATTGCAGATACCTGAGAATATATTAGTTATTTTAATTTGATAATACCTTTGACCCATGACAATGCACAACACTCACGAAATTCGAATTAAGCTCAGTAGCTACGAGCTGCACTTTATTCCCCATATATTATATATTATATAGATATAATATCATATAGTATATAGATATAATATCATATAGCTGCCATAGGTATAATCAATCGAAAAACATTTTATTTTTAAGACACATGCAAGAGTATTTAATAATCGACGTGCAGTTGCTTTTAGCAATTTTTTCATGTTTTCCATTCCCAACCGAGAAACAATGCAACTGCTGAGCCAAGTTTAAACTAAAATTGTTATTCTGCAACTTCAACTTCAACTTGAACATCAACTTTATCAACCGCTTCTCTCTCTCTCTCTTCTTCTCTCACATTGCAGACATCATCGATGCCCACAAGAACCAACAGCTCTGCTCGCTAACTGGCGTCGAGGGCGGCCACTCGCTGGGCGGTTCGCTGGCTGTGCTGCGTACCCTGTATGCGATTGGGGTGCGGTATATGACACTGACATCCACATGCCACACACCCTGGGCCGATTCCAGTTATGCGGACGCGCCGACCTTCAATATGAAACACGGCGGACTCACCATATTTGGCAAGGTAAGTGCTCGGCTTCATATATCTATCCTTACCCATTACTGTTCTCCTTCTTCTTCCTATTGTTGTTGTTGTTGTCGAGGAGAAGCCTCGCTTACAGCTGATTTAATGCTAATTAGTCCAATGGCCGAACCATTCAGTTCCCTTCAGTTCAGTTCAGTTTTGGTTCAGTTAAGTTCAGTTTGGTTTGGTTTGGTTTGGGCCTTTTCGTGTGGCTTACATGCGGATTTCGTGGCGCTAAGGATGCGTTCTCCGTCCTGCAAACTGCGGTCAACCGCAGTCAACGCTTTGTTGGCTTAGCCATAAATGTGTCCATGTTTGCGTGTGTGCGTGGAGCCTAGTCAATGGGGGCGGCATAGTTAAGTGCTTGAGCTGCGTGCCGGCGCCATTTTGTGGGGGGGGCAGGCAGGCGCCGCGGCCTGTGTGCCCAGCTAATGGGTCAGCAGCTCTCAAATTAGGTGGCTACAGCAATTTACAAGAGCCGCGCGGCTTTATGCCGGATTATCGTCTGGCAGAAGGTACGCAAATATCTTAAATTAACTGCGCTTCGGCTATCCACGGCTGCTGCTCAATGTGCTGAGGCATGTCTTATTATAATTTAAGCAATATACGATTACAAACATAAAGTAAGGCGATCACTGGGGAAAATTCCAAGCAATTAAGCTAAAAATTACATTTTTATGATTTTTTTTTCAATGAAATAATTGGCAACCTATTTTTTTGGATTTTTTGTGATATGATTTACACTAGAAATGCACAGAAGGTAAAATCTTCAAAATCATTTTTATATATTTTTATATTTCTTTTCTTTTCATATTTTACAAATATTCCAAGAATATTGTATTTCGCAATTTTTGTTCAAAATATGGTTTAAAATAGTTTTTTATTTTGTATTTCAACTCGCATTTTATTTGTAATCTGTCTTGGGACAATAAACAAATGGCTTAGCAATTAAAGATATAATAAAACTTAACAGGATTGTTTGAGCTTCATTCAGTTCAAACAATGTTTAAAGAAATTAATAGGAATTTTATCATGTAAAGAGAATTTCTTCTTTTTAACATATCTCTATGACTATTTCAAGAATCAAATTATTTAAATTGTTTTCTTTTCATTTTATTCTATAACTTTTTTCTATTTAAAAGAGAGTTCGAATTAATAAACTTTTAGATTAAATTGCAAACAATAATGCCATGCCGTAGCAACAAAATCCAGTTGGGTTAAACCTTTTCCTATTTCTCTAATATCTTTAAACATTCAATAGATTTCCTTGGCATTTTCTTGAAGCTGCTGATCAACGTCAACGCAATTTTCCTGCACCTGCACCTGCTCGCATTTCCAATAACTATTGCCTCTGTGCTTCGTTTTCTTGTTAAAGTTGCCTAGTTATGGCTAGTTTGGATAATGTGTTATATGAGCTGCTGCATAATTTGCATAACATTGTTAGCAGTAGCCGCTGCTGGCCCTGCTGTTCCACGAACTCGCATAGTTGGACATTGTTGTAGCTCAAACGCAGCTGTATTGCAGTTATTATTATCCACTCGTTTGTAAGAATCGCTCAGCTAGCTAATTTTTCACCTGCTCAGGTTCCATTTTTCACACAGAATTATCCGAAGTTGATTAAAGCGATTCAATTTTTCTAATGGTGTATTAATTTTTCAGTATTTGCTTATACAATTTTTCAAAGCAGGCATGCCTCTATATTCTTTTTATCCAGGGATGGTTTCAATTTTTAAAGCCGAATGTTGTCACATCCATATATAAATTATTCTGTATATTATGATTATAAAGAATAATGTACGACAGACAAAACATCAGTTTTATATTATAGAATATTATATATACATATATTCTATATATTCTTCAATAATTTTAAGAATTGAGAATCTTAGCCCAGTCAGACTGAAAATTTCGTCTTAATGTATAAAGAACACAAAATCCGTGCTCATCATAATAAAAAAGAAAAAAACATTTCCACAAAGCAATATATTATGCACACGTCCGAGCACCTATTAAAAAATAATATAAATAATCGTTACTTTTTTATTTGCCCTTCATTAAATTGATTGAATTTTCAATTTTCAAATTCGACGGCATAAACTTTGAATTCCGTGGAATAATTCGAACATTTCGCTTGCTCGTTATTGTGTTTATCTATAGAGGGCATCAAATTGCTAAAATATTGGCGCACAAGGCCGCGCGGCCGTAATGAATTTTGAGCCAACATTTGAATGCCGTGGCCCATTGTATATACATACGCGAGATTTGTTTACATTTGAAAATTCTTTGACATATGCTCGTGTAATTATTTCGAAATTCGAAGTTTACCTCGAGAGCGCCAGCCGCCAGCCGCCAACCACTTCGTCTGCAGCGACCGACCACAAGATTGTGATCACGATGTTCGTGATTGAACATCATTATGATCAGGTATTTGTTCTTCATGGCGTGTGTCGAGGGGCCGCGCTGCGCTTCCTCTTTGGCTGTGGGCTCTTGCCAAAAGCTATTTAGAGGCGTTGCATACGGAAATCAAATGTGTGAACGTGAAAATGTGAAAATGCACGGGAGCAACAACAACAACGTGAATAGAAACAACAATTAAATTCTCACAGCTGACCAAAACAGGAAATGTAAAATTTACTGCAGTCCATCAAAAATTTGGGCATTTTTATATGTCGGGGCATATTATTTATAACTTTTGATTGTGCCCTGTCAATTAAGTATGGAAATTAAAATTCAGCATATAATCAAAAAGGAAAACAAAATCAACAAAATCAACGTCACTTCCTCATTTAAATAACGGAATTTTCAATTACACAGCCCAAAACAATAGGCGAAAACAAAATACGTAATGAAAAGTGAAAATCGCATAGAGCGCACGCGTCCAGAGAGCAAGAGAGCAAGAGAGCAAGAGAGCAGGAGACGGCGAAACGGCGAGAGAGCGAGCAGCTGTATGGGGCGAATTCGCTTAGTTGGTAAATGGAAATTTTTCGCTGCGACGAAATGAGCGTGCAATGGGAAAATCGAAATTTTCATTCATACTATAAGGTGAATTGCACAGTGTGCCGCACAAACGAGTTGAAACCAAATGGAATTCGATTGGAGAAAGATAAATATACTACGATAAAGTAAATACTGGAACAAGAAATATTACAAATGCAATACCTATTTGAAAGACGAAGACACAATCTTAAGGATATTGGGTTATACATAAAAAAAATATGTTTCTAAAAGAGAATTATATATTAAAGGTATTATTTTAATGGACTTTGTCTTCAGCTAAGCAAATGCTATTTCTATATCCATAAATAAGTGAAGGCCCATTAAAAATTTTAGCTCCACATATTTGCAATTTAGTCTATAAAATCATATAGAAGGTATGGAAAATATTTTACGTTCAAAAAAATTTTGAATGAGTAAATAACGAAATTTTTTAAATTTCCCTAGTTGTTTTTCTTAAATATAGTTTTTATGCAAAATAATGACAATTTTGGTTTGTTTATAATTTAAAAAAAAACTAAAACATATTCTTCATTCTTCACTTTTTCATAAAATATCATAAAATTCTAATATTGTTGCTTTATTATTTTGTATGCCATATGTAGATAATTTTCTTCTAGATACTATTTTCAATTTTTAGTATAGGTTAGCTGGTTAATTTGTAGATTCTCATTAAGATAAATTTCCGCCCATGTCCTTGCGTTTTCGTGCCAGTGTTTCCACTTGACATTCCGTTCCACCCGCATGTCTAAAAATACCCGTCACGCACCCACGAAGCGCCAGTCACATGTGCCATGGTGAAAATGTTGCCAGCCTCGCTCTCGCTCTCGCTCTCTCTGCCTCAGTCTCTGATACATGTCTCTGTCTCTCGCTTTGGGGCCGTGTTGAGGTGAAAGCGCAAAACATCGCGCAGCGCTCGGACAGTCTGTCCACGAAATTCGCCCCAACGAGGCAGCTGAGCTGCAAACGAACCACACGCCAGCGAGCCACAGTCGTGTAGTGTAGTGAAGGAAAGCCAAAGAGAGCAAAAATAAAAAAGAATAATCTGAAAAATAAGAAAAATAGGAAAATACAGCCAGAAAAGTAGCCAACAAAATACGCGGCGTGTGCATTATATTTATTTATAACAAATTCCGTTTAGCGCGACGCATTAAAAGGTGAAATACACAGATTTTTCAGTTACTAACCAGCTAACACAAAAGGAAAGCCCAAAGAAAATCAAAAGAAAATGAACTGAAGCATATGCAAAAAACAAAAGAAAAGAAAAAATTAACAAGCTACTAAACCAAAAGCAAATGCTGTGCCAAGTGTACAAATACTAATCGGTTACTTCCTCCTCCAAACAACGCACAACCAACACACACACACGCACACACTCGCACACACTCGCACACACTGATTGATGATGACAACGCAGCAGCAGCAGCAGCTTGCGGCAGCAGCGTCGACTGAATCGGCGGCAGCAGCAACGGCAGTGGACACAGTCATGACAGCAGCTGCGACATCAACAACAACAACAACAACAAGCACCAAGCTGGGCAATGGCAATGCGGGCGGCAACAACAACAACAACAGCAGCAGCAGCACGAAGCAAGGCAAACACAGGTCGAGGTCATCCGCACGATACGATGACATGGAAAAGCAGCAGCGGAAAAGTCGCGCCATCGTCTCCATACCGAACACCATAAAGCTGAGCATGTTGAACAGCGGCCTTTTGTCCTTCGAGCGCATCAAGCTGGAGGCGCGGGATGAGAACAATTCGCTGTCGAAGACCATACCGAATGGTCCGATTGATGTGCGGCATTTTCTCAAATTGTGCGATTTGCGTCGCAAATTTCCGGTGCTGTATAAATTGGAATTTCAGACGGCCGCCAAGGTGGAGACAAACACCTGCCGGCATGCGCTCAAGAAGAACAATCAGGAAAAGAATCAGAATCCCAAGTGCATTCCATATGATTACAATCGGGTTGTGCTGCAGAAGCTGCCGGGTGTGCCCGACTCGGACTATGTGAATGCCTCCTATATGGACAGCCTGCTCAAGCCGAATGCGTATATTGTTACCCAGGGCCCCGTCGAGGAGACAGTGAATGCCTATTGGCGCATGGTCTGGCAGGAGAACATCAGCGCCATTGTCATGCTGACCAAGACCTTTGACTTTGCCAAGGTCATGTGCGTGCAGTACTGGCCCCCGAATATGGAGGTGCACGAGACCTACGGCGATATACACATCAATATTGTGCGCGAGGAACAGTTGGCCAACTTTCACATACGCACGTTCCGTTTGTACAAGAAGGGCGAACAGGGCGAGGTTACGGACGAGCGTCTGATTTTACAGTTCCATTATACGGAATGGTATTCACACTCCTGCCCCTTCTCCAATGCCCTGCTGGAGTTCAGGCGACGCGTTCGCCTCGTCGTGGGCAACATTATCCGGGACGAGGATGATGTCGATATGCGTGGACCCATTCTGGTGCACTGCAGCGATGGCGGCGGCCGTTCGGGCGTCTATATGTCCATCGATGCCAATCTGGAGCTGGCCGAGGAGGAGGAGTGCTTCAATGTCTTTGGCTATCTGAAGAAGCTGCGTCAATCGCGCAAGGGCCTGGTCGAGAACGTCGAGCAATACAAGTTCATCTATGATACGCTCGAGGAGCATATCATATGCGGCAAGACCTGGTTTCCCGTCTCCGAGCTCTCCGACCGGCTCAAGGCCAAGGCGCGCCGCAATTCCGGCACCAAGATGAACGAGTATCAGTCGGAATACGATCAGATCTGCAAGCAGACGCCCCGCTTCACCATCGGCGACTGTGCCGGCGGCCATCGGGCCGATAATCGAGAGAAGAACCGAGATGTACTTTGCGTGCCGCCGGATAATTTTCGTCCATATTTGACCAGCTTTCAGGGCAACGCCTTTACGGACTACATCAATTCGGTCTTTGTGGACGGGTATACAAAGCCGCGCGAATACATTGTCACCGAATGGCCCATGAAGCATACCCTCGGCGAGTTCTGGTCCCTTGTCTACGATCACGAATGCTCCGCCGTGGTGGTGCTCTGCCAGCCGCCCTCCCAGTCGCAGCAGTATCCATCGTTCTGGCCGAACAAGTCGAAAATGGAGAAATACGGCCCGGTTTTTACCGTGCACTATGTCATGTCGAAGAGCTATACGAATATCAAGCAGTGGGAGTTCAAGATCAATAAGAAAATCGTTTCGCTGACCGAAATGATGGCCGGGGTCAAGGCCCCAACACGTACCGTCCAGCTATTTCAGCTAACCTGCTGGCCCATGGGCCACAAGGTGCCGAGCTCAACCAATTCGCTGGTCTATCTGATGAATATGGTGGAGATCTGGCGCAACAAGGTCGACTATGGACCCGTCTGTGTTGTCTCGCCCGATGGTCGCAGCCGTGCCGGTGTTTACTGTGCGGCCAATGCGTGCATCGAGCAGGTCATACAGCACGGTGAGGTCGATGTCTTTCAGGCCGTCAAGACCGTGCGGCGCAACCGTCCACAGCTGGTCGAGAATATGACCGAGTACAAGTACTGCTACGATCTGGTGCTACACTATGTTCTGCACTTTCTCAACAAGAAGGATTGAGCTGTACTACAAATATGTTCTTCTTTATTTTTTGGCGGTTCGAACCCTGCACTTTACCAAGTGCTGCAATTTCTCAACAAGCAGATTGAAGCCAAGATCTTTACTTGGAGAATTCGCACTTGTTTCGTGGCTTTGTTTGCCCACAAACAGGATTCAGCTGTACTGAAATTTTTTTGTCGGTTCGAACCAGCACTTTCTCAACAAACAGCAGATTGAGCCGTACTAGAATTTTTCTTGAGAATTCAAATCCGCTCAAGCAACTGCTTTATGGTTAACAGTACCAAGTCCAAGTGGTCCACATTTATTGCCTACTATCTATTATCTAGTTAATGTCTACTCTACGAGAGCTTTAGAGCTGTAGAGCTTTAGAGATCGGGGCTAGACTCGGCTTGGCACAGCCTTTAAGCAATAATACAGAGTATTTTTGTTGTGCATAACACACAATTTGTTAGTTCTTTTGTTGTCTCTGGAAATTCAATTTCCCCCATTTTATTTGTAGGTCCACAAGTTCCTAACTGGACCATAAATATATGAAAAGTAATTTAATCAAATGCAAAAGCCATAAGTACTATATGATCTGATGTTTGAACTGTATGTGCCATGTCTAATGCCCTAATTGTTGTTGTTATTACTATATAGAAATATATATATATATATACTAAATATATGAAGAACCTCTTGAACTATTACAATTACTATTTACGATTAAATACGATTATGTTTACGATATATATATATGATTACGTTAACTCTTAAAACTTGCTACCTTATACAAATTGTTGATATATATCTAAACTTTACTGCATACTATAAATGGATAATATATATATATATAGATATATATATATATAAATGTTATGTTCTTGTGTAAAAGAAAGTCGCATAGTTTTTAGGGGCTGGTCTTGAAAAATGTTCGAAATTGTATTTTTTATTCATGTTAGAACAAAAACAAAATATTTATTTAGGAGTAAAACGAAACGCAAACAGCAAACAACAAAACCCCAAGCTCGATAAGAACAAATTGTTGATTTATATGGAATGTACACACACCCATACACACACATGTCCATACATATATGCACGTATATGTGTATGTCGCGTCTATACTCGTATATTTTCGCATTTATGCATTCGAAATAAGAAATATTTGCCTAACAATTCAAATGCATATAACAAAAAAGCCCACACACACACACACACAGACACAAACGCACAACACTTATATTTATATACATATATATACATATATTCTTATATTCTTGTAAATGTATTGAATTTATTTTTTTAAATGTGAATAAATGTGTATTTTGGAACGATTCCGTACGAAACTTTAGAGTAGGTTACGAAAAAACGAAAACAAATACCAAAAAAAAAAAAACAAGAGGAAAAAACACGGGAAAAACTACTTGAAATTGTGTTTTTATTTTTATGGCCAAATTCTTTTATATTTCAGCTATGGAAAACCGTAACGAGAGAAATTCATATAAATAAATATCTGCAGCAAAATCTTGCCTATAGAATTTCCATTTGAATTTTACGAAAATTTCAAATCTTTTGCGCTCAGGTGCTAAACGTAAAAACCAAAACAAAAACAAAAAAAATTTTTATTCAAAAAGAAATGGGTGTGATAAATGCAGAGCGGGAAAGTGAGGTGAGATGTGCTTACATTACGAACATTTCTGCAGGTGGCAGACAGCCTGAGATCCCATCGTGACCTTACACATCATTGAGAAGGTAAATCAGCTGCTGCCTAGAGTTTTTCCAGCTGTCCTCTTTTTATAATAAATCTAACTCGAGATTGAAGCCTAGGAGAGAGCTTCTGCAGTGAAGATAAAAGTTGTTATAATATTTCTGGCATTTGCAGGGGGCATTCAAATATTGACAATAAACAAATAATTAAATAAACAGACTAATTGCATATAAGGAGACATCTCGAAATATATTTGAATATATATATATATATCTATATATATAAATATATCTATATATATTCTTGATCAACAGCTGAATTGATAAAGCCATGTCTGTTCGTCTTTCTGTTAGATTGATTAGATAACTAAACAAAAACGAGATCTCAATTACGAGTTATCTTCAGCATCGAAATACTATAACAATTAAATAACCCTAAGACTCTTAAGATAGTTAAGATATCTATCTAAATATAAAAATTACCAATTACAAGCCATATTTTAATTTTAAAGATACATTTTCTTCATCTTTGGTTCAAGGCAAAGTTTTTTCTTTTATGATTTTCTCAAAGTATCAATTTAGTAATATTGCGCATTTATGGAATATTTTTCCTATTTTTCTGAATCACAAAATCAATATTTTTCCATCTTAAATCCAAATGCACTTCTGAGTGCAGCAAAAACTTTGATCGCATCCAAATCGCTTTCATCGCTTTATCCCAACAATCTGTGGGATTTCCATTAGGTCGTCGTATAAATCCATGCCAATTATTACAATGCCACACCGAAGATCTTGTAGGTATTACATCTTTTGATCTTTGCATTCCAAAACTGAGTCATAAACTCAAAATATCAATCAAAATATGATTTATATTTTCCGTATTTATTGGAATATTTTCATTTGCGGGCAACGGAGAAAAAGAAAAAAAACAACAAATGAGATGATAAACAAAACAAGATGCTCCGCACGATAATCGCGATGCGAAAAAATAAAAAACCTTGACCAGATTACACTTTAATGCGTACAAATCAAACAGAGGCCTCCATTATGTAGATATCGCTGTGCGATAAAGTGAGTGGGTTGCGGGGGGAGGAGCGGGGGAGGAGTGCGGGGGCGGCTGTGCAAGGTGTGGTCGCTATAAAATCGATATATGACAGCACAGCTCTTGCTGTGCCCAGCAATAAAATACAACAATAACAAGAGCCACAACAATAATAGTAAAACTTGAGCACTCGCAATGACATCAGCAAAAAGTAGATGTACGTAATATATATATATATATATATGGTATATATGTATATATACGTATGATCCCTGTAAAAACAGGCAAAAATGGGCTCAACAGAGGTTAAACTGATTTAAGGCAGCTGAAAAAGTTGCGAGTATTTTGATAATTTCGGTTTTTGATGGCGCCTAAGTCGTGGGACGCCCTAATTGTTATTGTTAATATACCCTGTACGCAATAATATATAATAGAAACGGGTATGATGAAGTTTAAAAAATGTTTGCAAAGGAAAGGCATTATCTTTGATACCATAAAGTATATTCTTGATTACCATCAAAAGCGGAGTCAATCTTTTCCGTCTGTCTCTTTTAATGCGTCGATCTCGGGAATTATAATATAACTATTTAAATCATTATAATTAAATCATTATAAAATTCAGTTAAGTTTATTTCATCCTTTTCTCACCCATTTCACAGAAAGTGATTAATGACTAGCAAGAGCACATTTTTTTTGTATAACTCGAAATTAACAAACATAGAAGTTATTTGAGAACTATTTGATTCATATTGAGCTGCAGCATGAAGAAGAAGCACAGCTTTTGCTTAACCAAAGCGGTTTGCGGTCTGTTTGTGTATTTCTATATATATATATTTTACATATAATCAAAACGAATATATGTCTTGACAGCTCGAGGATACAGGGTATCCCCTCGTCGACTACCGTACTCGTTATCATTGTTGCCAGGCGGCAAGTTTGAACATTTTTGCCATATACAAAATACGGGCAGACAAAATAGAGCAATAAGTTGTTTTTTGGAAAATTTATTTATGAGCTATTAATACAAAACGAGCGCGTGGCAAATTAATTCCATTTGGCGGGGGGGCCGGCATTGGAGAAAGCTCTTCAAATTAGTCACAGTTTGCTTTTAGGAGCTGTTTTAGTTATTCGCTAATTAAAAACTCAATGGCAATTAATTTTCATGGGGGAGGGCGAGCTAAAATTTATGTCATATCAACTCGAACATGGGCGCAAAAACTAAATCCCTGCTTTTAATTGCCTATTGTGAGTGTGTATGTGTGTGTATGTGTATGTGTGTGTGCTTGTATGTGTGCAAGCAATAGATAAATACTGAAAAATGTTCTTATTAATTTGTTTTCAAATTGATTGCATTCAGCTAAAAATTTATGAATTTTATAAAGTTTGTATTTGCTTATCAAAAACGGACTGCAAAATACTTACCAGAAACTTTTTGATTTATTTTTTTTTTATTTATTTATAGATTGTTACAAAATATCAAATCTTTGTTTACAAATGGAGCAAAGTGCGTCGAGCGTATTTAAATTTCAGCAAATCTATTTTTATTATATTCCATACTCTTACAAAATCTTTCTCTAAGGGTTTTATTTTTGAAAAGAACTGGAATTATTTTACATCCATTTTTTGGTTGTGTCAATAATATTTATCATTGAATTCTGTTTCAGACATTGTAACTTTGATAGTTCCTTTTTGGGTATAGATTTTTATAGCATTTCCTGTCTTAAATAGATGTTGGATTACCGTGACTTTAGCTTGGTCGTATATTTTCATAAATCGATTTCCTTTACCCTTGCAGCTGGTATTAAACTCCTGATTGTGCATCCGAATCAAAATTGTAAGTGGTTAGGCTTATGGTAGCTCAGCAATTGCCCACAATCAGGTTTTCTAGCTCGGTTCGAGGTTCGTTTTGATTTCGGTATCAAACCAGTTCGATGGATCAGATTGTTTCTTGTTTATGTCCACATAGAATGCGTACTGTCGGAAACAGTTGAATATAGGGATTTATGTAAAGTTAAATATTTCTAACATTTAATTCATTATTAAGAGTTGTTCCCTTTGCAAATTCCCATTGTAGTCGCAGCTACTTAACTCGCACCAATTGCGCTCCGTTTGCTTGTGGTTCCTTAAGAATTGTACAGCAGAGGGTCGCATTCTATGTAGGCAACTACTTATGTATTGTTCATTTTCCCCTCTTTGCTGCCCGTCGGGACTATTGCCACACAATTACCTGCCGCTGCTGCTGCTGCTGTTGTTGTTGTTGTTGTTGCCACACTCCTTTGGGCCTGCCATTCACAATGCATTATTAGCCTTTGTTTGAGGCATTTTGTAGCCTGACGACGGCTGCGTTGTTTGGCTAATTCAATTATGCAACGTCTACGTGAGCTGTTTGTATGTGTGTGTGTGTGGGTGAGTGTGTGGGTGAGTGTGTGGGTGAGTGTGTGGGTGAGTGTAAATGCAATTGAAGGCAGGCAGGCACACACACGTCTATTACACACCTGTATGCACACTCTTGTGTTCATTCAGTCACGCATTTGACTTAATGGCCGCTCGGCAAACCCTTTCCGCGTGAAGTCGTTTACATTAGCAGTCGGCGCACGCATACATAATAATAATAATAGTTATTATAATAATAATCATCATAATATAATAATCATGTGTAGTTGGCATTTTTAACGACGGCGACAAGAGCTCAGCTCCCTTCTAAGCAGGCGGCAACGGGCCGGGCACGTTATGGAAATGAGTTGAAAACTGTTGGCCTTTGGCTTTTCACATGTGTGTGTGTGAGTGTGTGTGTGTGTGTGTGAGTACGAGTGTGAGTGTGTGTGTGTGAGTGTGTGTGTGTGTGTGTGTGTGTGTGTTTGGCTTTCATGTTTCACGTGCTCGGAGTGAAAATGAGTGGCACTAATTTGATATGACATGAAATTAAATTTAAATAATTAAAGAAATGCCTTTTGTGTGGCTGCTGCTTTTTCTACTGTTACTGCTGCTGTTGCTACTGCTGCCACTTCGGTTGCCTCCGGGCGTAGCATACTTTTGTGCGCCCACACACATTTTAATTACGTATTTGCCAGCCGAGAGCACAGGATTCGTGTAGAGAACGTAACGCAGATCAAAGATGGGATTTAATTTAAATATGAACACAAGTTGAAAGAACAAAATGGAAATAATTGAATATTTATTTCTAAAGAAACGAATTTAATGAGCTGGGTATTAAAATTTCGAATTTGTTGAAAGTGAATCAAACAAATGAATATATTGGCCCTTTTTGTTGCCAATTTTTAATGATGCTTGTGAAAAACAGCTCAGTCAATATAAACGTGACATAATGAGCCCGTGTGGCTTAGTTGCCTGAACGTCGGACTAGCAAGCGAGAGGTCGCCGGTTCAACTCTAGCGGTAATTATAAATGTTTACATTTGTTTATAACATTGGCTATTCTTGACAACTAATTATGAAAAAAAAAACTCAGCTTGGGTCAGTAAATGTCAGACCATCAAGCGAAAGGTCGCTGGTTCAACTCTAGCGGCAATTGTAAATATTTAAATTTGTTTAATTCATCTGCCATTATTCACAAACAAATAAGATAGACAACGCAGCTTAATGAGCTTTGGTGCCTGAACGCCGGACTAGCAAGCGAGAGGTCGCCGGTTCAACTCTACCAGCAATCGTAAAATT